GAGAGTGAATGAATAGTGGAATTGTAAAGCGCTTTGGGTGCCTTGAAAAGCGCTATATAAATCCAATCCATTATTATTATTATTTTTATTTTATCACGATTTTATTTTAAATTATTACAAGAGTTAGGAAATTCCCCGTGCTGGGTTTCAGTTAGCTTGACTCAGTGCCATTCAGTGGCTCTGGCTTAAGTGCAGTGAATTGATTTAGAGAGTGCTCTGCAGGTAAGGTTTCTGTTGGTAACTTAACTAAAGATGGCAAGTGAAACCATTTATAACATTTAACTAAAGTTTACTAATTTTCACAATATAAGCAGAAAAATTGACAGATTGAAAGCCACTTTTACAAACTAAATAGCAAATTTAAGGCTAAACAAACTACTTCAAGTCACATGATTGATGGAGTGAGTGTTTGATTGATTTTTTATTGACTGACAATACTTTATTTATCCAGAGGGAAATTGTTTAAAAGGCTACCAGACAATCTGGTGCCATCATGAGCACCCTTTCTGACCATACATAGAATACACAAACATAACACTGGGAAGACAGGTAGGGGAGGTACAAAAAAAACAATGGAAATACACAATACACGAGGAAAGAGGAGAAAAAAGATATCCTCGCAGACTGAGCTCCTAGGGGAGAGCAGTTTGAGAGCAGAAATAAAAACACCTCAGCACAGAAAGCACATAAATCTTCACATCTTACAACGTAAAAGCTACGAATCTAGCTATTGGCCCATTCTCTCCATCTTACTTTAACTTCCCCTACCCTAACCTGTACTTGGCTACACTACCATCACAAAATATAATATATCAGATTTTGTGAGGCGAGGACTGTTGCTTTGTGAACAAACCACGGATCACTAGCTAGCTGAAAAAACTGTTTAATAAAAAAACGAAACCCTTCAGGTCTGGAAAAACAGAAAAACCTGAACATACAGCATACAAAAAAGGGCTGAGCCAACTCTGAAGCTGAAAGGCTTCAACATGACTGCCAAAATGTTGAAGTTCTTCTTTTAGTCAGATTGTGGTGAGCTCCTAAGGGACAAGAATAAAAGCTGGTGACACCAACATGATCACGTGACATCCTCTTACTTTGCTTGCGTAACCTGTAGGGTTCAACAAGGTTCAGTCCTGGGTCCATTATTATTTTCCTTTTATACATTTTTGCTAGCCAGTGTCATTCAAACTTTTTCTGGCAATTCTTGTAATTTGTATGCTGACGACATTCAGCTGTACACATCTTTTAATCCTGATCAGCTGGATAGGTTGTCCACTCCAGTTGATGGTCTATCCTGGATTTTATGGAACGCCAGGACTGCCATAATGAATTAATTAAATACACCATTAAATAATTAATTAAATGAGCTTCGGGTTTAAAAAAGGTTTATAAACAGAGTTCAGGTTTTCAGTCCTTCTGAAACTCACCGCGGAAGGAAGAAGTAACGTTACTAATACCACTCTGTACTCCGTTACACGTAAAAGTAAAAGTGCTGCCTGGAAATATTACTTTGTGGAGGTAAGCATCAACAACAAAGAGCTCTCAGTTCTCACTCCTTCTTTATTCCTCTCCAACATCAACTGCACATATCGCGCCACAAAACACAGGAACACACTTCCTCAACACTGGGTGTGAGTGGAGCCCTCTAGTGGTCCACCACACATGCCCGCTTAAGCAAACGGCCGGAACGGCTGAACCGGGGTGGTGGGGAACTGACAGAGGGCAACCCAGCCCGGGAGCGAGGCTGGCACTGGCGGTCAGAAAAAGCTGCAGACGACTCGGACTCCGTTGATTGTGGGTCGCTCCTGGGGGAAAAAACAGAATCCATCAGCCCGGTGGCAGGTGGGTGGCCGCGGCGAGGGGCCTGGGCCAGGACCACCTGATCCTCTTGCATAACATGTGCAGGCTTAAGTCTATCAACAGAGACAACCTCCTGCCGACCGCCAAAGTCCAAAATGAAATGTTTGTTGCCTGGTTTAAGAACCCTGTATGGCCCGTCATATGGTGGACGCAGCGGAGTCCTATGGGCATCGTGCCTGACGAAAACGAAACAAGCAGAGTCCAACGAACTCGGAACAAAAGTGTCAGGCAGGCAGTGGTGAACAGGAAATGAGTCTCTTGGGGGCTGAAAAGGCAACAAAGAGGTATCGAAACATGGGGGAGGGCTCTCAGGTAAGAATTCCCCGGGGACCCGGAGGGGCTGGCCGAGGACCAGTTCAGCCGGGGAAACCCAGAGGTCTTCTTTAACCGCGCTACGCAATCCCAGCTAAACCCACGGAAGACGGTCGCCACCTGTTAAGGAAACCCGGAGCGTGGCCTTAAGTGACCAGTGAAACCGTTCGCACATCCCGTTAGCTTGCGGGTGGTATGCTGTGGTGCGGTGGACCTTGACCCCCAGGCCGTCAGCCATAGCAGACCAAAGCTCAGAAACAAACTGGGGGCCCCTGTCCAAGGTAATGTCAGGAGGGGGACCGAAACGTGAAACCCACGTTGACAAAAATGCTCTGGCCACCGTCACCGCCGTCGTGGACGCCAGGGGTACCGCATCTGGCCATCTGGTCGTGCGGTCCACCACAGTCAAAAGGTGCGTGAAACCCTGTGACTGCGGCAAGGGACCAACCAGGTCCACATGAACGTGATCGAAACGCCTACCGGGAACACGGAAAGGTTCGAGGGGTGCCTGCATGTGCCGGTGGATTTTCGAGCGTTGGCATGGGATACAAACCGCCGCCCATTCTTTTTTTCACCGTTTTGTGAAGGCGCGGCCAAACGAACCTGGGCTGACCAGCTGGACCGAGGCCCGGACGCCGGGTTGAGAGAGGGCATGCATCGAGTCAAAAACACGATGACGCCACGAAAGGGGACCCACCAGGCGGGGGCGGCCGGTGGAAACGTCGCAAAGAAGGTGCGGACCGCTGTCCCACACCGGGGTGTCCTCCAGCACGAGGCCCGTTTTCGTTGACTGAAGGGCAAGGACGTCCGGGTCAGCACGTGGCTCGGCGGCCATGACACCGGAGAAACCAACACACGTGAGAGACAGTCAGCGACGTGATTGGACTTACCAGCCACATGCTGAATGTCTGTGGTAAACTCTGAAATGCCCGCCAACTGGCGCTGCTGGCCTGCGCTCCATGGGTCAGAGACCTTGGACATCGCGAACGTCAAAGGTCAACGTACGCAGTAAAGTTGCGACCCTCGAGGAAAAAACAAAAATGT